ACCTGAAAGTTCACTCAGAGCTGAGGCTATTGGCAAGAAGTCCCAAGGCCTTGCTGGTTACTGGAAGGAGGTCTCAGTTTTTTGCCACATGGACCCTTCTCTAGTGCTGCCTGAGTGTTCATACAACATGACAGTTGGTCCTTCTGAGAGTGAGTGATCCAATAGAGAAAGCAAGGAGGATGTCACAATGCCTTTAAAAATTTTTTTTAATGTTTATTTTTGAGAGACAGAGACAGATATGAGCAATGGAGAAGCAGAGAGAGAGACAGAGAGAGAGAGAGGGAAAAACACACACACAGAATCTGAAACAGGCTCCAGACACTCAGCTGTCAGCACGGATGTGAGGCTTGAACTCGGAAACAGTGAGATCATGACCTGAGCCAAAGTAGGATGCTTAACAGACTGAGCCACCCAGGCACCCCCACAATGCCTTTTTTGATCTAGCCTCAGAAGTCACCCTCTATCACACTGCCATATTCTTAAGCCTTAGAAGAGAGTCCCAAGGGAGAGGAATTAAGCTCCACTTCTTGCAAACAGTTTATGGACAAAGCATATGTAACAAGGTCACACAAGAGGATTTTTAACATTCCTTCATACCTGAGATTAGCCAATTCTATTAATAAACCAGTAAACAGAGGATAAACCTGGAAAGTGCCCTGTATTTGAGTCATCCCACCCCCTGAAGTGGCCCACTGGGGCTCTTGTAACTGATGTATTTGTCAAGAGGAAAGGTTCAGTAATGGATTTCTGGAAACTCCACCAAATGACAATAGCGTTTGATTGAAACTGCTCTTGTGGTGTAATAGAAACACTATTTACGATTTTCAGAAAAGAGAGTGGGCACAGAAAAAGCTTAAGTTAGAGACTATTTTGCTTATACTATTCTTCAGATAAAAAATGAACAATATACAGCAATCAAGTTTTTTTTTAATTTGGGGAATTATTTTATTTGGATTGTAGAAAAGAAAGACTTCTGAGCTCTCCTGGTTACTAGATATTACTAAGTATTAGGAAGCATAAGTTTATAAAGTTATAGTCTCATGAGAGTTCTATAAGGCAATAAATGAGAAGTTATGGTCCAAAGATGAGGCAAATTAAATTGTGGCCTGCTTTTGGAGCAACTTATGGGGTATAGCATGGAAGAATTCACTTGACCTTGATATTTTAAATATTCTCCCTTTACAGGCAGAGGTTTATGACAGATACTTCTTATGGATCCAATCTTCCACTACTGGGATCTGCAGTGAATAATATTTATAAAATCTTGATACTGTCTATACTGGTTACTAATTGTCACTGTTCAGAACCTCCAATCAAAGTGTAGAAGACAAGTTAGATATAGGACAGAATATGGATGGTAACAACTATGACATTATTGCTAGAGATTGAGGTGAGAGTTGGAGTGGGGAAGGAGGAGAAAAGAAGAGCACAAGAACTTTCCTGAACTTACATAGTCAAAGGGGGGTGAGATATGGTTGACAGAAATTGTATAAAGTTGAGGAATCAAGAAAAAAATCAAGAAACAATGTTACAGTTGCAATAAAATTAAAACTTATGATTTCAAGTTAGAGTAGAAATCTATCAAAAGCCAGGAGGAAAGGGAAGTGGAAAGTGGTATGAACTACATTCTTTTTTTTTTTTTTTTTCCTAAAAAGAAGTCACACACTACTGACTAACCAAGAAATAGAAATATGAGCATATCCTATAGAGTGAAGGTGTTTCCTACAAGAATAACCAGAACCATGGGGCACCTGGGTGTCTCAATCAGTTAAGTGTCTGACTTCAGCTCAGGTCATGATCTCAAGGTCTGTGGGTTTGAGCCCTGCATTGGGCTCTGTGCTGACAGCTTGGAGCCTGGAACCTGCTTTGGATTCTGTGTCTCCCTTTCTCTCCACCCTCCCCCACTTGCACTCTGTCTCTCTCTCTCTCTCAAAAATAAATAAACATTAAAAAAAAAAAAAAAAAAAAAAAAGAATATCCAGAACCAGAGACTGGTGACTCTGAGACTGGGGTGGCCAAGGTGACTTTCACATCTCCTTTCCTATATTTCTTTTTTTTTTTAATTTTTTTTCAACGTTTTTTATTTATTTTTGGAACAGAGAGAGACAGAGCATGAACAGGGGAGGGGCAGAGAGAGAGGGAGACACAGAATCGGAAACAGGCTCCAGGCTCTGAGCCATCAGCCCAGAGCCTGACGCGGGGCTCGAACCCACGGACCGCAAGATCGTGACCTGGCTGAAGTCGGACACTTAACCGACGGCACCACCCAGGCGCCCCTCCTTTCCTATATTTCTATACTAGATTTGCTTTCTTACCTGTACTGAACATACATGACTCTTTTGAAGCAAACAAATGTAAAAATCCATGGATTTGGTATAATCTATAAGTTTATACTAACCTATGTTCACCAGATTTTAGGTAAACTTTATAAACATCAATCACTCTAGTTATTTTTAACAAATGGTAAGATTTCATTTATTTTAGAAATTCACACTTTGCATCTCATTCTTCTTGACACAGAGAGTAGGAATCAGTTTACAAATTACTACATTGGTGATAAAAACTATTTAAAATGAGCTGGAATTCTATGACTTTTCTATATATATGCTTTTCTATACTCTACCACCAAAAATGAAAGGACAACCTTACAATTTTCAGGATTAACTCTAAAGGGCAAGAATGTAGGCTCAGTAAAGAACTGATAAGTCCATCCTAGGAATAGTCTATGAAACAGTTTTAATAACTAGTCCCTTGGTCCCCAGTACTAAGGGTTATTCTGAGTTTTTTTTTTTTTTTTAAATGCTTATTATTTTTGAGAAAGAGAGAGACAGAGAGAGAGACAGAGTGCAAACGGGGAAGGGGCAGAGAGTGAGGGAGACATAGACTCCGAAGCAGGCTCCAGGCTCTGGGCTGTCAATACACGGCCCAATGCAGGGCTCGAACCCTTGAGCTATGAGATCATGACCTGAGCCCAAGTCGGACGCTTAACCAACTGAGCCGGGTTGTTCTGAGTTTTTATGGAAGGCCCATGTACATCATATATATATATATATGTACATATGTACTTTTTTTTTTTAATTTACTTTGAAAGAGAGAGAGAGAGAGCATGAGCACAGGAGTTGCAGAGTGAGAGAGGGAGAGAAAGAATCCCAAGCAGGCTCCCCACTGTGTCAGCGCGGAGCCCGATGCAGGGCTCGAACTCATGAACTGTGAGATCATGACCTGAAATGAAACCAAGAGTTGGATGTTTAAGCAACTAAGCTACCCAGGTGTCCCTCCCTCTTACATATTTTAAAAGCAAACTCCCTTCTATCTAACTATGGAAGATTTATTCAAAAGATTCACCAATGATTAAAGATACCAAAGAAGCAACTGACTAATTTGACTTGTTTTAACAAAAGACAGCTATTTAAAAATACATTTCCTGGGAGCAACCTGGGTACCAAATATAGTGCATGGAAAGAGAAAGGGAATACCGAAAACAAAACAAAACAGAACAAAACAGAACAAAACAAAACAAAACAAAACAAAACAAAACAAAACAATGAGGTTAGTAGTCAGAGACCAAAGTCCATTTTTGTTTTTCTCTTTGAGTAATTAGGGGAGAAATTTTACGAAAGCTCTTTGGGCTCCTATAGAAAAAAATACTTTTCTTAAAGTCATATGAAATGCTTGATTTTCTAATTTACAGACTCAACTTGTACTATATCAATTCACAACAACCATACAATATAGATCAGGCAGCACCCACACTTTCTGTAAGAAAATTTATACAAAGGGTTTAACTACCACAGTTCCTGTGGACGATCTATAACACTTATATTAAAAAAATACTTAGGAAAGAACAGATAAATGCACAGTAGTATGTCTGTATAATGGAATACCATACAGTAACGAAAATGAACAAACTACTGCCACATGTAACATGGATAAATATAACAGGCTTAATGCTGACTGAACACATCAGATACATATAGTACATATTCCATGATTCCATTTATATAAAATATAAACCCAAGCAAAGCTAATCATGGTTTTAAAATCGGCATAGTGGCTAACTCTGGAGAGGCAAAGAATGGAGGTGATTGCCAGGGAGATTTCGGGGTTGTGGTAAAGTTCTACTATATCTGTGTGCTGGTAGTATGGGTGGGTTCGGTTTATAATAATTCATCAAGTAGTTGCAATTATAACTTGTGTACTTTTTGGAATGTATATATAGGTAATTAAAAAGTCAATTAAAAAAAAAACATATAAGACCCCCTCCTAACTTCTGTGGCACCTTTATGGAGTTTTAAAAAACATCCCCTCTGTATGAATGAATGAAAAAGGCACCCCTGTGGGCAGAGGCAGCCCCACAGTTTTGTGCCTTGGCAAATGGAAGACTGGCTGCTTTTTAACCCCACTACTACACTTGGCTAGACACAAAACCACACATCTGGATGGACATCTGCAAATCTGCAAAACACTCATTTGACCCCTCTTCACCACAATTTTACAAGGAGGGCAGGGCAGATGTCCTTATTTTACAGAAGAGGAAGTGGCACAGAACAGTAAGACCCATATACAAAGGCGTCATAGCTAATAAGCAATGGAGCCAGAACAGACTCCTAGGCCAGTAGCTCTTCACATGGTTCTGATTCCTTTTTGGGAGGGGAAGAGGAAGAAGCTTCTTCTATGTTTGTTACTGTGTATGTTGTTATGGGTCATCTCAAATGCTTTGTGGAATAAGGCAGGGAACAAATACATGGTCCAATGTTCTTAATATTGGGCTTTAGTGAAGGTCCTAGGTTCTAAGCCCGTTTGAAATATGCTGTAAGCATACACTTAAAATGAATATTCATCTTTTACATGTTTACCTATGCTAAAAGATTAGTAGGATAGACATGTTTAGATACCAAGGGAGCATTCCGGCCTTCCCATAACTTGTTAAGGAAAAAATCTTTCTGTGTCTTGAAAAATTGAAAAAGAAAGACATGCCATAAGGTGTATGTCCAGCTTACCTAGAAGTGTCTGCTTATCTTGGGAGGAGTCAGACTCTGCAGAACATCTGCAAGTTCGGAGAACAATGACTCCTCCAAGCACGCCATCTTCGCTGGCCAGGAAAGGTGAACCTAGGCAGAAACGACAAATGGTCATTTTTCAGTGAATTTTGCTTTTTTCATTTTCAATTTTCATTTGATTACAAGAACAAAAATGTGGTGTGAATGCCCATTTTCTGACAATCACCATTGTTCAAACCTTGTATAGGCTTGATGGCAAAGGCAGGCTTATGCCCAAACGGGGGCCATTTGGCAAAGACAATCCCAGATGTCGCCAAGAAGACTTGAGTGGGGGTGGAGTGTGCATTACAGTATTCAGAAGGGAATTGGAAACACTACCAGATTAAAGGACCAAAACACAAATACAGGAAAAAATGCTCAGCAAGTCTCTTTGATCAGCTTTTAGGGATCACTTACCAGGCTCTCCCTGCTGTCAGGGGCATGCCACCAAAAGCTTTGATTTACTACCTTAAATTCAATTTTAAACAATAAGCCACAAACTTTACTACAAACATTTAAAAATGATCCTGATGGTTTACACAAATAAGGGTGAAACTGTATTTCTATTATGAGAGTCTGGTGGTTAGAAACAACCGGGCCTCTTTGGGATCTCACACACTGAACCATTGTGAGCATTTCAAGAACACTACATTTTAAAACCCCTCATTTTTCCTCCCCAAGGACATCTTCTTCGAACATCTGGCATAGCAAGTAAGCACGTGGAAAACAAATGCAAAATTAACCCAAGAGCTATCAAAGAAAGTAGTAAAAAATAAAAATCAACCAAATTGGATTTGGGGGGAAGCTTCTGGTTAAACTTAGTAGATTAAACACATATATTTATCTCCACTCCTTCCAAAAGCATGACCCAATAAGGACAGAGAGAAAGGCAAAGAAGAAAAAAACTCATGTTTTAGAAAATGAAAAGAAGATAGATATTACTTGCTCACCTAGTGGACCTGCAGAAGCTGAAACCTAAGCTTTAATGGGGAACATGGTTAAAACTGGGGGGTGGGGGGGGGCGGGGAAGCACCTATAAGAAATCACCCAGTTTTGTCATAAAACCCACAAAGAATCAGAAATTAGAAACTTCAAGTTCCTCTGAAGACAGGGATGCAAGGTGGGGCTGAAATGAAGATGGTTGATTCAGAGTGTCCAAAAGGACCCTCTACACCAGGCATCAGTAAGCTATGACTTGTCTGGTCTGCAACTTGTTTTTGTACTGTCCACAAGCTAAGAATGTTTATTTTATGCCTTAAAGGATTATTTTTTTAAAAAGAATGAGAAGCAGAAGAATATGTGATAGAGACCATGATGTAGCCCCAAAAGTCTAAAATCTTTACTTTCTGGCCCTTAACAGAAATAGCTTGCCAACCCCTGATAGATCAGCCCCAGATTCCTGCCTAGACAAGAAGTTACTTCTTCCTAACGTAGGAGATGCCAGGATATTTACTCTGTAGAGAGGATAAACCAGAGGGACTTGAGTCGTGGGGTCATCAGACTCAGCACAAGGCAGGAGGGAGTGTCCACAATGAACACAGGATGTCGAAGTGGAAGTCTTTATGCTAAACAGTAAAATAACTAGCTCCTTTACCCACAGGCTCCCAGTATACAAGAAGTCAAACTGATACACTCCAAGCACGTGACTGGATAATTCCCTTCCAGCCATACAACCATCTCGAGGAAAAAGAACTACTTGAGAGACCCTAAACAAAAGCTGCCTTATGTTAAGGGCTTCCAGATGACAAATGTGGCTCATTCAGAAGGTTTTCAGTTCAGCTTCTTGGTATATAACTGCTCAATAGTATAGACAACCTAGGTTCACTAGTTGCTTCAGTGTGACCTCTAGAAAAGACAGAGACCAAAACAAAAAAGAAAACAGAGAAAATGTACGCCAATGCATTGAGCAAAAGAAAAGTAAAAGAGATGGAAAATGGGAGGAAAAAAAAATCAGAACAGGCCAGAAGGTCCAATATCTGAATAATAGGAGTTTCAAAAAGAGAGGATAGAAGAAATAACACTTCAAAGAAGTAATTCAAAAACATTTCCAGGAATTGAAAGGTGAGTGTTTGAAAAGGCTCATCAACCTGCCAGCACAACTCATGAAAAAAAAAATAAAATAAAAGTGCCACAGATATATATCACTGTGACATATCAAAATATTGAAGAAATAAAGTCCAAAAACTTCCATGTGAAAACACATGCACACACACACACACACACACACACACACACACACACACAGAGAAAGCAAGGGGATCATAATGGCACCAGATTTCTCAACATAACAATGGAAACTACAAGGTTAGAAGGAAGGCACCATCTTCAACATGCTGAAGGAAAATTATTTCCAACCTAGAATTCTATACTAGGCCAAAATGTCAATCAAGTATGGAAACAGAATAAAGCTCTACAAAGTCTCAAAGAATTCACCTCCCACATACTTTCTCAGAAAGCTGTAGGATGAATGTGCCCTGGCAAAATGAAGTAATAACGTACATAATGAGAAAGAAAACAAGATCTGTAAATAGGGGATCCAAAACAAGAGAATACAAAAAGATTTCTAGATGACACACAGCGAGGCAGCAGGCTTAGAGAGTCAACAGTCCAAATTGGAGCAGAAAGCCAGAGAAGGCTGGAAAGAGATTTCCAAGGGGAAAATAAATCAAACTTATAGAATACACGTTGAGTTTGAAATTATTGGGAGGAAATGTTTCAGATTTTGAGGGAAATTTGACAATCAACCAGTGATCAGTATCAAAAAGCAAACAAAAAGAAACCTAAAAAATAATGAGGCAAATATTAATGCAGAAAAAAATAAGAATTTGTATAAGAAAGGAAACAGAATCACAGTACACTACATAGTTCAGATGTCAATAGCTAGAGTCAAAAATATAAACTCACAATACTGATGAGCTAAAAAAAAAAAAAAAGGCGGGGGTACATAATACATTGAGAGGAGTGATGGATGTAGTATGTGTAGGTTTGGGCTTGGAAATATAAGGGAATTAAATCTTTGCCTTCCCTCGTAGGAATATGAAGATATCTTGATATCTAAATAATATCTAAAATTGAAAACTGAAGGAATAGTAGTACAAGTGTGTTATTTTGAATTACAGATTTAAGTTCTAAAAGAAATAGCTACAAGAGTTAAAAGAAGTAGTAGCCTGAGGGGAGAGGAAACTAGGGGGCAGGGAATTGGAGTTGGAATAGGGAACCATTCATTTTCATTTTAAGTCTGGGGGTATTGTTTGCCTTTTTAAACCACTTATTTGTTTTGCCTTGCAAAGAAAAACAACACAAATTTAAACTGTGGAACTGGAGTAAATTTTTTAATCCTTAGCCTCTTAAAGAAGGGGGAAGGAGACAGGAAATTCACAGTCATTGAGAAACTACTCTGCATCAGGGCTTGGTTCCATGCTTTCATGTTCTATAGTTTAATTTTCAGAACCACTGAGAGGGTTCAGAGCAAATCTTCCCAAAATGTGTCATTTTGGCATGTAGGCTATTTTGAGCTGAAGGCAATTGAGACCCTCCTTTACTTAGAATCTAAATTGGGGGTCTTTCTCAGAATTAGAGTTATCACCAGGGATAAATTTTATCTGAGTAACCCATTTGTATGGCATAGCAAATATCTAACTACCAAACATTTGTTCTTCTTATTGCCCCCCTCCCCTTTGAAGCTTTTGGCCCCTATACCATTCCTTAGCTCAGCATGGCATAAATACCTCATTTTACCTTTCTGTCTTTGAATCTCTCATGTATAAGAGGTTTCTCAATGTATAAAATTAAATTTAATTTTCTCCTGTAAATTGATTTCATGTCAATTTAATCTTAGACCAGCTGAAAGAAACTTTTGAAACATAGAGTAAAATTTTTCCTCCCCAACACCACTATGCCATGAGGTATTTTTATCATGTTATAGATGAAGAACCTAAGGTTCAGAGAGGTTCAATGACTTGTCACAGCCATGCCACAATTGAACAGAGAATGTGGCTTTCCCTCATGTCTCTGAGCCCATGGTCCTCGACTGCTTGGCAGCAATACCTCTTAGGGAATGGGAAACTCTGGATAAAGTCACATTCCAACTGCTGCTAAAAACTTCCACCCCATCAGCATCCAAACTCTTTTTTTTTTTTTTTTCAACGTTTATTTATTTTTGGGACAGAGAGAGACAGAGCATGAACGGGGGAGGGGCAGAGAGAGAGGGAGACACAGAATCGGAAACAGGCTCCAGGCTCTGACCCATCAGCCCAGAGCCTGACACGGGGCTCGAACTCACGGACCGCGAGATCGTGACCTGGCTGAAGTCGGACGCTTAACCGACTGCGCCACCCAGGCGCCCCTAAACTCTTGACACCTCTAGAACAGTTCTCTTCCCCACCAAATCCAGGAGCTTCTCCTATGTTTCTAATAGCTCATCCAAGCTCAAAACTCTCTACCTTTTCCCTCTTCAATGACTCAAAACATGAAACCAAGTCAAATCCCAACAGTTCCCTATGATTCCACGTGTACTGAGCTCCGCCCCTTCATTCCCACTGACAAACCCTCAATGTACCCTCACTGTACTGAAAACACTGCAGTAGGCTCCCTACTCCAGTCATTCAAATCCCTAAATTAATTGATTCAATAAATATGTACTATATGCCAGGACTTTTCAAGGCACTGGGATGTAACAATGGAAAAAATGAAGTCCTTGCTTAAATTTAGTTGAACAGGTTAGGGGACAAGTAAGCTTACAAGTCAATAAAGAAATTCATCCAATTAGTGATAGGCGCTGTGGAGAAAATGAATCCTGGTAAATGACAGAAGGTGTGACTCAAGCAGGGGCTATTTTACATCAAGGGTCAGGAAAGGCATCTTTTGGTAAGGAGCTAATAACCATGTGAAGACCTGGGAAAGAACATTCCAGGCAGATGAACAAGCAAATGCAGAGACCCTAAGGTGAGAAGGGACCTGGATGTTCGGGAAATACAAAGGGACTAGGGTGGTAAGAGCTGACTGAGGGAGAGGGAAGAGAGTGCAGAACATGAATTCAGAGGGAGGCAGGAATTCAGAGGGAGGCAAGGCCA